ACATGCCCAGGTTAAAAATTGTGTGCGTCCGTGAAACGGCAACAAAATTCAGTAACCCAAAAAGTACATAGCCAATGCTTTAAAATCCCGCACAGGTCATCAGTTTAGAGATACCCAAAACTACTGGCCCTAAAACGATTGCTCTCACTCCAGCATGCGCGGCGATAGCTAACATGTGTAGCGTGTTCGTTTACATGAAGACGCGTTTGCTCGCGGGGGGGCTTAAACATTTTTTTAAAATTATTTTTAGATTTCTTTTATTTAATGTTAATTTTTTTTAACTTTAATTGCTATCACATAGGGGGGCTTACAAGCCCCCCATGTGATAGCAGATGGTGGTGACAGGTACTCTTTAAGGTGATGCTGGGGGTCCAAAAAACCCTTTCACTGGGCCGTAGAAGCGATCTGGCGACAGCTGATTCACCAGAATCGCTTCTACTGTAAAGCCGACAGTCGACTTTACAAGTTTAAACAGAGTCCCAGCGGCAAAAGCCGCCGGGAGTCTGTTTAAACAGCGCCGATGCCAGCGACGTACACTGTACGTCGTTGGTCGTGAAGGGGTTAAAGGAGAACTCTGGCCAAAATGTTTAGTGGGGCTACCCCCTCAATGTAATGGATAAGTGCTCGTTTTCTTCTAGGTGCTAAAATAAAGTTATACTCACCCGAACCTCGGGTGAGCGCAGATTATTATTTCTTTTTTTAATTTTTATTAGTTTATTATTATCGGATCCATTATTATTGTATTATTCTGCACTGCAAGGGTTAAGTGCTTGTTTTTGTCTAGGTGCTAAAATTAAAAAGTTATATTCACCGTGTCCTCGCGTCCAATACACACTGTATTGTACGCAATGACTTGAGGATCCTGAGACCGCTGCAGCGGAGGGGGGAGTGAGGCTGGGCTGCAGCGGAGGGGGAGTGAGGCTGGAAGGACTGGCTGCTCTGCTGCACAATGTCTGCAGTGTGCCTGCTGCTCCCTTTCCAGCCACATCATCCCAGGTTGCGAAGAGCCAGGCATACACATCTCCAAGCCCAGCTATTAGCAACCTAGGATGCTTTGGCCAGCATCCTCAGGGCCGGATTTACTCTTCCTGCTGCCCCAAGGCCAGGTTCCACAATACGCTCCCAGCCCTCCGGTGCCCGCAACTTCCCCACAAGGTCACCGCTGCCGCCCTGAGGACGGGCCTCGATGGCCTTGTGGGAAATCCGGGCCTGGGCGTCCTGCCCAGCTTTTGGCAATCGGTGATGTCACTGGTTGCCAGGAGCTGGGCGGAATGCCCACTAAAGCATCCCAGGTTGCTAAAGGATGGGCAGGGAAATGCAGAATGCTGTCTCCTCTACCCACCTCCTGTCAGGGGGTGCTGGTGTGTGCTGTGAAGTAAACAGTGGCAATGTGTTGTAAATGACGCATCACAATAGTTTTTCATCTTTATTGAACTTTATACGTCACAAGATCACATTGCGATGCAGGTGTAGCCCATCACAACACGCTACGGTGGAAAAATGCAGTATTGACTGCTCTGATTGTGTGCACCACCAGCACCCTCCAACCCCCCGGCAAAAAGGCTAGTGACACCCCTGAACGGGATAAGATGCATTATTGCCTTTCCAGTGTCTTTCATAGACTGCTTTGTTTCCTATGACCAGCACTGAGTTATCACAATATTTACTAACAAAGAGCTACTTCGGGATGTGTGACCATAGAAGTGTCTATTGGGAAAACAGTTCTTCCTTCCGCAGACAATGCTATGTACTAATGAGCTCTGTTCTACCATGTCAGCATATATCTCCTATCATTATAGCCACTCTAGTCTACTGCTCTGTATACAGCGGTGCTAAAAATACCAGTTTTCTTCCCAGATCTCCATTTGGTAGGTCCGCTGATTTCGTTTCACACAAATGAACACTAATTGAATTATTTAAATATACAATACACAATATAAACACATCGGGTTCTCATGGCAGAGCTATTGAAATCTCTAAATACTGTATAGTTCCCTGCGGAGCAATAGTAAAGGCCAATTCTGATTTATTTAGGGAGCAGAGATATTTTTGGGTTCTTTATTCGGTCCTGTTGAGAAATTCTAAAGAGGCGTAAAAGCCACAGGAACCTAGGCGGTGAAGGGGGTAGAGGGGGGCACCCCCAGATCCCAGAAGATGCTGACTAGCCCAAATCTTGCAAGATGACACTACAGCACAAAGCATCTCCTGGCGAGATGTGGGCTACTCTGCACTCTTCATGACTTCACCCCCTGCAGTGCAGAAACTGGTGGGAAAGGTACAATTAATTAAACCTGAACTCTCAGCAGATAAAGGTTCTTTGAGATAAATTTCTCAATAGCCACATGGGATAAAAACCCCTTTGTGTGCACCAAATGAGTTTGCATACCCAGATATTACTGGCTGGCTCCATGTTCCCTCGCAACACTGCCAGTCAGATTAAAACTCCCTCTGACCGGAAGTTCCGATATCGGGGGATAAGTATCGGAGCATTTGGGCGAGTACTAGCATCGGTATCGGCGCATTTCTGGTGCTCAGAATCGAGATTGCCGTCAAGATTGGTTGCGTCTCGAGACCGTTAACGCGCCTCGCTCTTCCGCACAGAGCACCCGTCGCGCACTTCTCTCATAATATGGTGAGAAGCTGCAAACAAACCCGGTCCATCAACAAAAAGAGAGACAATTTCATGTGACAGCTTTAACTCTTTTTTTTTCCTATAAGGCCAGTTGTCATGACTACCGTGCTAGGCCCTTCTCTCGCAGGTACTGGTAAATGAGACAGACCTGCAGAATTTTGGAAAACAGGCAAGATACCAAACCTTAATTGGGGGAGAAAAAAAACCCAAAGTGGGGAATGTATTCTCAGAGAAATTAATTACACTCCAGTTTGTATTCCTAAAACAGAGCCAATTAGGAAGCGATATAAAAAGCCCTTAGCAAGGGAAAAACTTAATTGACCTAAAATTACATTTCTCTGCAAGCAATGCTCGAATAATTGATGCTATTTATACATTTGTATTATAATGCAGTTGTTTTGTACTGTATATATTTATATATATACCTAGAAGTAAACAAAAGGACAGGCTTTGGATAGTTGAGCTGACAACTGTCTATGTCTGCATTGGCCTTTAACCGCACGCTTTACCGCAATGTGCAGCAATACTGTTCACACCTGCCTCAATGCTAAAATGCTCCTATCAGACTTTAGATCAACCGCAAACTATTCATCTTTAGATCTCAGATCAGTCCCAATTCCTGCACCTTCAGACCTCGGATCAGCCCCAGTTCCTGCACCTTTAGACCTCAGATCAGCCCCAATTTCTGCACATTCAGACCACAGATCAGTCCCAGTTCCTGCACCTTTACACCTCAGATCAGCCCCAATTCCTGCACCTCCAGACCTCAGTCGACTTTACAAGTTTAAACAGTCAAACCACAGATCAGTCCCAGTTCCTGCACCTTTACACCTCAGATCAGCCCCAATTCCTGCACCTCCAGACCTCAGATCAGCCCCAATTCCTGCACATTCAGACCACAGATCAGCCCCAGTTCCTGCACCTTTAGACCTCAGATCAGCCCCAATTCCTGCACCTTCAGACTGAAGATCAACCTCAAACCAGTCATCTTCAGTCCCAGATCAGCCCCAATTCCTGCACATTCAGACCTCAGGTAACCCTCAATTCCTGCACATTCAGACCTCAGGTAACCCTCAATTCCTGCACATTCAGACCTCAGGTAACTCCCAATTCCTGCACATTCAGACCTCAGGTAACCCCCAATTCCTGCACATTCAGACCACAGATCCACCCCAGCCAGCACAAGGCCTTATGAAATTTTAGCAAAACTTTGTTGCTAAAATAAGAGTTACACAAAAAGGTTCCCTTACAAAAAGGTAAAAATTCTGTTTTCTCCTGCCACCCGTGCTGCCCATCTCCACACTAAAGAGAAACCATCGCCTGATGAATCTTTAGAACCTGACCATCTTTGCTACAGGTCATGATTCCGGCACTCATAAGGGGATCCGTCCATCCAATACTTTATTTGTTAGAAGGCAAAAAAGCAGCAAACAAATGCTTATATGTTTCAGCCCCCAATCTGGGCCTCAGTTGTAGCAAGGAAACATCAAAATGGCATATTTAAATACCAAAGTTTCTCACCCCAAGAGGGGGTGGGACATCTTTTAACTGTTAAAAAAAATTGTTAAAAGATGTCCTGCCTCCCTGGGGGTGAGGAACATTTAGGATCTGGCATTTTGATGTTTCCTTGCTACAACTAAGGCCCAGTTTGAGGGGGCAGAAACATGCAAGCTGTTTGTTTGCTGCTTTTATGCATTCTAACAAATACAGGAATTGGATGGACGGTTTATACCTATTGCTTAGTGAAGGCTCTGGCGGAAGCTTTAGCAGGCAACGAGGTTCCAGCAGCGGGATTGGAAACAAGAAGGTAGAGCTGCTCCATGTTTCTTAATTGCGAGGTGACCAGTCACTACCAATTTTGTTTTCATTTCATACATTTTTACTGTCATTATGCAAAAAAAGGGTCCTGTCAGTTCAGAAAGAGCTGTTACCCTGTCTCCTACTGATATCACCTTGCGATCACCCAGCTCTAGCACTAACCTGGAGAATGCATGATGGTTTTAAGGCAGGGGTAGGCAAATTTCGACCCGCCAGCTGTGGTGCAACTAAAAATTCCACAAGGCATTGCAAGCTTCTGATAGCCACAGCCACGACTCCCAGAGGCCGATGCAGGGCTGGGGTTTGCCTACCCCTGTTTTAAGGGACACAACCCACTTTTTCTCCTTCCTGAGTCTGACCAGTGGCGTCACAATGGGGGTACGGGGGATGCGGCCCGCACCTGGATGCAACCATTGGAGGGGTGACACCAAAATGACTGACAGTCATTTTGGTGTCACCCCCTATGAAAAGTCGGGCTCTCGGTCATGGACCAAGAGCCCAACAGTGTCAGGAGGGGACACGACAGCATACCTCACCCCGCCGGGTGAACGTCCCCTCCTGTCTCTGACGGCCTCCGTCACCAAGATGGCCGCTGGCAGGTGTCAATATGACGCCCGCGCATGCGTGATGACGCCACAGCGAGGTGTCACACGGTCTCCAGTCCGGGTGACACCCAGCCTCGGGATGCCCCTGAGTCTGACCTGATCCTGATATACTGTGCAGCATGTAAGCACTGCGCAAACTGTTGGCACTTTATAAATCCTGTATAATAGGAAGAAGAACGTATTGTGAATAAGGTTCTTTTTTTCACTCTAAATGTACAATGGATATGCTTTGTTTGAATGATCAAATATCAAAGAGGCCCTGTCACTCTAAGCGCCAGCTCTTATTAGTCAAATACGGGGGCAGCAGCTCCATTTCTCTGCATGCCTGCCCTCCAGCAATGTGCAGGAATTTCTTGATATCTCCTACTGTGACATTTTCTCCATGAGTAACATAACATCAGGATGAGCAACAGCAAAGAAAAATGTGTACATTATTATTACGCACCTGATGTTCAAACGCTGATGTAGAACCACTAGCCTCCCCGCTGTCTAAGATAAGGCTGAGGTCAAGCTCGCTCGGGCCTGTCAGAAAAAAATAAGCATTTAGAAATGGGTTGTTGCGAGATTCACTTTTCCAAGATAACACCTACACACTGACTACATTTGCAGAACCATTCCACATAATTTACGTTTAACATTTCAGAGATTTCTTTCTTGGGAGAGGAGGAGGCGTTTAACAAGATGCTCTCTATCTCGGTTCTCGCCTCCCTTGTAGAGCAAGCTTTGGGATAATGAGCTTCACTGATATATATTCTACAAAAATGCCTTCTTGTGCAGAACAGCATTTCACCTTACTTAACATTTACTACGTAAAATAGATAGGTTATATCCAGAGACCAAACCCTATTTATATTAACCCTTTGAGTGTAAATTCAAAAAATGACATTCAACGATCCAGAACTGTGTGTAATATTTGCAAAAGAAAGGGGTGATGCTGATCTAAAGAAGACCAGATCAAAGAACAGTTATAAAGGGTCGGAGTGTCAATTGAAGTATAAAAATATATAAATCTTTATTTTAGAATACATTTAAATACGAGTCATCATCAAAGACTGTTAAACCACCACCTGAAACCTTCTAAAAAATGATTGTACAACCATTGGCTCACTCACTTCAGTGAAGTGAGCCAATGGTGAAGTGAGCGAGCCAATGGTTGTACAATCATTTTGTGCTGGGATGATGGAAGGCATGAGGGATTTTTGGGGAAAATGTGCAGAAAGATGAACTAAACCTTTCAGTTCAGGATTTTTCCAGCAAAGCAACTAGTAGGTGAAGCTGAGATCTCCCCTTACTGGATGGAAATTTAAACACTACATATTTACATGTAATATGTTATATTTACCCTATAAGATGGAAAAAACTAGGCATACACTGGTCAAATTTCACCCCCATTGGGACCCCCCAGTTTGATTTAATATGATTATTCAATCTACCTTTGTTGTGAGACCAGACCGAAAAAAACTTGACCCAACAGTGACTGCGGCCAAGGTATATAATAGCCTTGGGGAGGTTGGCTGGGGAATTTACCAATCCACACTGACAGCATGACCAGAGTTATTTTTCTTGCTCAGACCTCGTTTAGTCGAAGAACGTTTTGGCAACCAAGTCTTACCCTGTGTTTTTTTTGATGAGCCTCACTTGTATGGGGAGCCTAAATAGGAACTACCCATATCTTCGAAATAACAACAAACACACCTTTAGAAATGTTTAGTAATGACAATCTACACACACATTCTTATACATAAGTGTCGGCTTTGTATTCTTTGCATACCTTATTTCTCTTTTCTTCCCCAGTGTTCTGACAGTGTCCATGTTAACTAAGGGTCAGGTTACTAGATCCCCCTTTACTTCCTGGAACTCTGGCACATGTGACTAGACATGTGACTAGGAAATGTGACCATGCACATCATCACAGGGGAGGAAAATTCCTTTCCCTGAGATCTTGTGAGAGATTACAGATGAGATTTCCCACCAATGCTCTGCTGATGTAATCTTTCCAGGATGTAACGCTTGGGCACAATTACATCATTTGTGCCAGAACTGGACCAGGAAGTGGAAAAAAAGAAATTGTAAGGAAAATAAAAATATGTTTCTTTTGCTAAAGAATGTAAGAGGATTTCATTTCAGCGAGCAGAGCTGTATGCTGATGTGATTTATAGTGAAAGCTGGTCCACTTTAAGACTTGGTTGTCAAACTTTCTTTGACTAAACGAGGGCTGCCCAGTTACCCATTGAGATCTGAACCTGTATGCTGAAATGTGCTGATTTCGCCAGACACCCCCGAAAAACTTCAGCATCATACAAGGATTGAAATAAAACTTACAGGATAACAACTTACATGTACCAATGGCTTCCGTGACAATTTGTTATGTATTCATTTTTAAAGGAGAACTATGGGGTCAGTGTTTTTCCCCATAGTTCTCCTTAGGGTAACGGGAGGACACAAACTAGCGTCCTCCCGTCACCCTAAGCTCAGTATACCGTGAGCTACAGCTCGCGGTATACTGAGAAGCCGCAGCCGGAGCGGATCCCGAAGTAGATGACGGGATCCGGCTAGCTGCGTGAGTGACAGCTGGCTCTGCCTATCTAGAGGCAGAGCCAGCTGTACCCGCCCCCTTCCCCTTCCGTTCTGCCAGTCAGCGCTGGCAGATCGGAGCGGGGAGAGGGGAATCCAGCCCTCCCCCTGTCAAGGCTCTCTCAGAGAGGTGAGGTGAGCGAACCTGGTATGTGTTCGCTCACCTCCCGATCTACTGAGCCGACCTGTGACAGTCTCATGTCACAGGTCGGCTAGAACTATGAGGTGAGTGGAAATCACTCATCTCATAGTTCTCCTTTAACAAAACAGGTTACAATTTGTAAATAAAAAATCTCTTGTTCAGTGAATA